TGGAAAACGATGAAGAATCCATTCCACAACTTAATGTGTTAACAAGATCGTCAGCTCGAGCAACTACCACCAATGACACCAATCACATGACAACAATAACTGATAAACAACCTAAAGAAGCAACACTCGCACCATCTCGACAGCTTCGCCCAAGGAATAAAGTGGAAAACCCTCAGTTATCAAGCAACTCCTCCTTACTATCATCAAAAACAACAACGACCATTCAACAGTCGTCAAGCGATTCTATTGCACAAACAAACCCGATGTTTGATTTTGATATTACAACGTTAAAATATGAACAACAAAAGGATAAGACCACTCAAGATCTAACTGAACAAGTGAAAAAGAATCCAACGATTGCTTCATATGATGTTATTGATGATGTTTTATATAAACTTATATCAAGAGATGGTGCAAAACATATTAAATTACCATTCATACCGCAATCAATGATTCCAAATGTAATGGCTGCCTACCATGATCATCCATCAAGTGGACATTTTGGTATTAAACGTACATTGTATAAATTAAAAGATCGTTATTTTTGGCCCAACATAATGTCAACAATTACAAATTATATTAGATCATGTCATCAATGTGCCAAATTTAACATTCGAAGACGAAAACTACCGGGAAAATTACATCCTATTACACCACCAGATGGAATCTTTGAGGTTATCGGAATGGACTTTTGAGGTCCAACGTCTCTCCCATCGTCACAAGACAATCGGTATGTGCTAGTGATAACAGATTATTTATCAAAATATGTCATTGCCAAAGCTGTACCAAATAATTCAGCAACAACAACAGCTCAATTCATCATGGAAGAAGTTATACTAAAATATGGGGTACCACGAAAAATAATCACAGATCAAGGTACACATTTTAAAAATGAATTGATGGAAAAAATTGCATTATTAATGGGATTTAAACATGCATTCGCAACAACATATCATCCACAAACGAACGGACAGGTGGAACGATTTAATGCAACATTTTATCCGCAGTTAGCAAAATTACACGATGACAATCTTAATAATTGGGATGAGTATTTACCAGCGTGCATATTTGCATATAATACTGGACTACACAGTACAACGGGCTATTCGCCGTTTCAGTTAATGTTTGCACGTGAACCTATTTTGCCTTTTGATTCACCAACATCTACTATTACATTAACAAAGCCAAATGATTATTGGACACAAATCACTCAGCTAACGAAGGTTTACAGGAGAATTCATCAACAACAATTGTCTAAACAACGCTATGATCAACAAAGAGCGGATCCAACTTATAAACCCGGCGATCTGGTCTTCATTAAACCGATCTGGTCTTCATTAAACAACTTGGTAAACGTCCAAAATTTGGTGAATTGTATTCAGGACCGTTTAGAGTTTTACAACAACAACATCCTCTTACATACTCAGTGGAAGATGATCAAGCAAAAATTCAGCAACAGGTCCATGTTAGCAGAATGGAACCCGTTCACGAGAGAACGATTTAAATTCGTTCTGTGGGGATGAGCTATGGATGTTAGCTCTGGTGACAGTAAGACATAACAACTGGTCCTGCATTCTCCAAATTATATGAGGAAACCGTCAGCAATTAGGATGACTTACTACCAGCCGTCGTTTATGCCTACAACACAGGCCGCACCAACATGATGACACTTCATTCCTTTTGAACTTTTCATGAACATGGGTGTTCATTTTTTTGTAGGGGGGAGGTGTTACGTCATGGGACCTAAAACGTGACTACTGATAAGTAGAAGAAACCTCCTCTCGTTTGTAATCACGTTTTCACATTCTTATCTGATATGATATTCTCCTTATTGTCTAACATTCTTATATGGTCCGATATTTTATCTTTGTATGGTACGACTTTCTTCTCGTATATATACGACTGTATTTTACATGTTAGAGGATGCTTTTTTGATTTATCAAATAAACCATCTGTACATACAAATAAGTTTCGAACAAGTTAGATGAAGCCTAACACACATGAATATTGATGAGGCCGACCACCACGATTCCTATTTCCATTACCCCTCTGATTAGGGTAATTGGAATTCATTCTTGACACGTGCGCATGTGCTCACTCACGTGTCAATGTTGGAAGGAAGAAAGTGTTGACTGAGGTATCGACAGTTCGAAAGTGTGCGTTGAATAGGAATATGCATCACTGACTTCTGTTTTAAACGTCAAATCTACGCTCAGGTGTCCCGTGATGACGACTAGCAACGATGCTATTGGGAACAAGTGAGCATTGGCCGATTCTTTTAACATGTGTGAATGCGGACTTTGATACATCAAATATGTTCCCACATGTAATGAACTAGCAACGGCTAAACTAACCTCTAGGGCCAATAGGGCATTAAAAATTAACACTTTTCAGATCTTACAGTACACAACTGTTCGTTGTTTAAGGTCAATTAAATACTGCACCTCAGACAGTCTCGATGCTAATCCTTGCACGTTATAATGAATGGCTGTGAAGGGTTTCGGATTTGGAGGAGGGGACTGGTTAGTCGTTTTCCAGTTTGAGATCAGCGATGAAATGGTGCTTTTCGAATTCCATTCCGCAAGCACGGTCGATAATAAAACATGAACACCTTCACACAAAGAAAAAATCTGAGAAACAATCGGATCAACGTATGAATCGAAAAATACAAACGGATCTGATGAAGGATTTAACGCCATTGGGAAGGATATGAATTGTTGTACGATGGACAGAGGACTCTCCCAAACTGTCTCTCACTGAGAACGCACGACACCACCTCCGAAATTTTTGAGATACAAGTTTGTGCCCGCAAAACTGACTCATTCAATTGAGATGGAATGTTCTGAATGACCGACACCTCCGCGTTACTTATTTGACCTTGGCCGGTTACAACTTTCAACAATGTCGATGATAACTGATTTATGGTGGGAACAACAATATTCGAAACGACCTGCGATAACTCATCAACTTTTATTTGTGCGCACTGTATCATGATATTCGTCTGTGCAATTTGCTCACTAATCGATGTTAAGTGCCGGGTCGTTTCCCGATGCAGTGCGTTCAACCGGTCGGATAAGGAACCTAGTGTATCGAATGAACTACAATTACTTGATACTGGATTCGTCGATGGCGGTTGAGATTGATCTAGATCTCGAGGTCGCGAAGGCAAACCCACTACTACAGAAGCAAACGAATCAACTAACGGCACCAAAGGAGGTACTGCACGAGAAACAAATGAAGAAACGGTCTGTTGTGGTTCATCAAGAGACACCGGCTTAATCTGAGCAACACGCGAACGAAATTCTCTGGGTATATGACATTGAGAAGGAACAAGATTTCTATCGATCAAATGAGCCATCAGTGTTCTACGGTACTGAATTAAATGTGGGCAAGAACTTTCAAAATAATGGTGATCCCTACCACAGTTTCGACAGTGTGCTTTACCGTTACATTTGTGCTCTTTACTCGAAACAACTTCAAGGCTGCACACTTTACAACATTCATTTTCCTGTTTACAATCCTTTTTGAAGTGACCATATTTGTGACATTTAGTGCAAATAAGCACCTTAGGAGTTGAGAAGTATTCTTTCACTTTCATAACTATGTTACCTGCACGAACTTTTCCTGATTGCTTACAGTTTTTATAGTCATCACTCGAACGAAAATCAATTCGTACATTTTTACTTGTTGTTGACTTGAATGTGGGCTGACTTACACCTCCACAAATTGACGGCCACGTTTGCTGTATTTCTTGACCGAGATGTTCAACGTTCATCGCTATCGGTACGCCAAGTATTAACAGTGAAAGCTGTGGAGGAATCTTTTTCGGATATACCACTATGAAATTGTAACTACCAATTAGTCTTGGGTACACTCGTTCGTCAAACAATTGTGAAAACGTTTCTCTGTCGCCGGCGAACAATAAGAGATTCCCAGATCTAATTCTCCAATACGCTGTATTGGACTCAGCTTCATCGGGCAAACGAAATTCATCGAGAAATCTGGTAACAATAGATCCAGTCAAGTTGAACATCTGATTTTTAGTCGTAAGCGGTATAATTTTGATCGGTGGAAAAGCAAACGAACAAGCATATCGTTCTGCTGCATTCGATACATTCTCTGATGGAGCCGAATGTGGCAGAGATTCCGGATAAGCAGACGGTGTAGTATCCGTACTTGTGGCAGACGGAAGAGATACCACTCTTCTACGTTTTTTCGTTCGGTTAACAACAATCACATTTGGATCTGATGCAAATTCTTCTGTTGCCTGCTTGTCTTCTTTCATCGTCGAATCCAAACGTGGTTGTAACGATTTAATTATTTCTTTGACTCTATCCACAAACTTTTGACATTTAATCGCGTCATTAACGAGTTGTTCGTAGTTTGGACTTTTGTGTGTGAGTAAGTGAAGATTTTCTGCCGAATCTGATTTCTTATTGGCTGCTGTCTCTTGTATTTTCCTTCCTTTCTTCGCTGCCTTTTTTATACCAGCCGGCATTAAAGCGGCTTAGTGGACAATAAAACTAATACCAAAACACGTGGAATTTCGACCAGAATGTAACTGAATTACAATATATCCCAAAAATCAATTATAGAAGCCCAAAAATGGATAATAATGGATTAAACTGAAACCATTACGAAAATAAAATTAAAATTAAAATTTCAGAAGAAAAAAAAGCGTGGCGAGGCGCGCGAGAAAAATGTTGAGTGACTACCCCCATATGTGATCAACAAATAAAGCATGTGAGCAAAGTTCGGAATATGTACTACCGCCAGCGAAAGAAAGGCCTTGTCCAAGAAGAGACAAGAGTTTTACTACGAGTACTGACTCGGAAAGTGAAAAGAGAAATCGGAAGATATAAAACGGAAAAATGGCAAAGTTTTCTATCGACTGTACAAGATTCTCATGATAGACCAGAGAAAGCCTTTTGGAACTACCTATCTAGAGTATACAAGCCAAAAACTCTTCCTTTTTCCAAACTGGCGGTAAATGGAAAATCATTATCAGATGAACAAGTAATTACAGATGAACTCTACAAGTACTATGAAGAACAATTTCAACCTCCATCGATAGATAAAAATGATCCGCACGATGCTGAAATTGAAAAAGAATACATCGAGATGAAGAGAGTCTTGGAAGCATCAAATGAGCCTGTAAGAGCGACAAGTACCTTCGAGATTACAAAATATATTAAGAAATTGAAAGGGAAGAAATCGACTGGATATGATTCAGTGTCCAACTACATGCTCAAACTTTTACCACCTGGATATGTTGGCTGTCTTACAAAATGTTTTAACAAGTGGTTAACCGAGTGTAGCTATCCAGAACCTTGGAAGACAGCAAAGATAATCACATTAAGTAAATTAAAGGTAGGAGTACCTCGATGTGATCAAACTCGTCCTATTTCATTACTGGCCACACATTCTAAGTTGTTTGAAAAAGTACTACTAGAAAGAGTTCGACATTGGGAGAGAGTCAACAACTGCTACCGATTGAACAATCTGGATTTCGTCCAGGATGTTTATTGCCAACTCGGGTACTATCTATTTATCAAGAAGTGAAAAATAATTTGGCTGGTAATATTCCAACACTTGCTATCTATTATGATTATCAGAAAGCATATGACAAAGTGTGGCATATTGGACTCTCAGTAAAACTATATCGACTTGGAATGCCACATGGACTTCTTAAAATGATCGTGTCATGGCTGTCTGGAAGGAAAGCGTATATTAATTTCGGTAAGACATCGTCTGGTGTGTTTCTTATCTACATTGGACTGCCTCAAGGAAGCTCACTCAGTCCCTACCTATTCATCGTTTCCCACACTGATATTATCGTATGTCTTGGTGCTCATTCAACCCACATATTTGCTGACGATTTAAATGTGTTAATCCGATCACCGATTCTTAAAGATATCAATGCAATGACTCTCTACCTTGAGGAAGAAGGTACAAAAGTGTGCAATCATATTGCCGCCTATTCGAAAAAATGGAAACAACCACTTAACATTACAAAGACAGTTGGACAGTTGTTCTACTCTCAAGTCATAGCCAGGGGCGCAAATAACGGGAGGGTGCGCACCCCGCGAATAATTGAAAAAGCTATTGTTCTTTTACCCATTATTCCTCGTACAAAAACTTTTTTTATCAATTTCACACTACCTCAAAGAGAAATTTTGTTTTACACCCCCCTAATGTTCTGCTCCTATTTGCGGCCCTGGTCATAGCACCTGTGGTAAATGTATTTATGGAGGACATAAACTGGAAATGGTGAAAGAATTTAAATACCTTGGCCTCATTTGGTCGAGTAAACTATCATTAAAGCCAACTGTGGATAGATGTTTGGAAAATATTCAAAGAAGTTATACAAAACTTAAATGGATGAAAGGTGGTAGAGCATTGTCAATAATGGCACTACGGAAATGTTTCTTCGCATTTAGCTTTCGACATTTTGTCGGGATTTTCCCTTTCTTGCCCTTTTTGCCACGAACACAGCAAGAACTGCTGCTTCAAAAGTATAGAGTTGGCATGAGATTGATCCATCGCTGTCCCTTTTCAAGTGCATCTGAACTTTTCAACATTATTGATGAATTTCCCTTAGAGACTTATGTACAACAGTATATAAAGAAACGATTAGAAAAAATTGAACAAACCGACCTTGGCCAATCACTCTTCTACACAGATGTATTTTATTGGGACACTTATAAGAAACAAAAAGGCGACGACATGGGACTTTTCTTCCGGATGAAGGACTTGCGTGATAGGCATGAATCTTTGCTGATTAAATGGATAGACTTCATTGAAAATATGTAATCTGAGCTCCTTTTTGCATCCCTAATTTCTCTTGGGTGCTCCTTCTTCTAGCTTCTTCTCTCTACCTTTTTTTACCTTTTCAATTTTATATACCCCTCTCTCATTTTGCTGAAGTGGGAACACATGTACACCTTTAGTGCTTTATAGTTTTATTTGCCTGTCACTATCTACAAGCTGTTGCTATACTGTTCAATTGTAAGCACTCCCGAGTGTAACAATAAACGCAAATTTAAAAAAAACCAAAAAAACTATGTCATTTATTTTCTACGATATGAATATATTACTGTAAGATCAGATCTTTCGGATTGTAGTACAAATGAGGCAACTCACAATCTTCCTGGGAGGGTTTTAGTTGCTTGTACTGCCATTGAGATAATTGTTTCATTCTCACTAACTCACGAATAAATCAGTATTGTAAATCATTTGCCTAATGAGATTATAAGTAATTTTCTTGTAGGCACTAGTTTTTGCCATATACTCTTCAGATTTCTTATCGTAGGTCTCTGGTCTATCAAGATGAAAAATTTTTGATTTGTCCGTTTTTCGGAAAATTACCACCTCTTGTTTCTGTTCCTGTTTGAAGTAATTAATCGCTTTCTCAAAGCTTTTCTCGATCTTTTCACGGGAATTCCTATCAAAAATTTCTTTCTCAACTCTAGTCGCAAATGTATCTACTACTTGTCGGGGGATGTTTCGTGCGCGTAGATTTTCATTAAATCTGAGCTGTATCTCATGTCGATGGCTTCTACTTCATATGACAGACGATGACGTGCCGTTTTAGGGTTAGGTTGAACATAAGCAGGACCTTTATTCAATTTAAACGTTATGAAAGAAGCGGGGTGCAACGTTGTGAAAGCAAGTTTTTGGTTTAAAAGTACAATTTCTTCATTTATTAGAGCCTCAGAAAAGTTATGAAAAGAATTTGTTCTTGTTCGAAATTGTACTTTTACGTAAGAAATGCGTCGTATGTTAGGATACGACCG